TCAATTAAAATTTCAAATTAATCATTATGTTAAATTTCATTCTCCTAGCTTTTCATCTAAATATGAATTAAGTTTATTTAAAATTAACCAAGGCAAATTGGTCCTTTGAGTGATTTTCTCCCTTTGCTATTTAGATTTCAGTTTGTTTTCTTAAGAGGGAAAAAAAAGTCTTGCTTATTTGACTGTTTTGCCTCTTATTGACAGTGCTGCTTAATTAGCTCTACATTAATTTGTATTTTTCTATACAGCACAGCAGATTGATGGAGTCCAATTAACATACTGATATACTGTGTGTGTATATGTACATTGCTAGCCTAATTTTGCTTCTCAGTATTTTTTATAGCCATTTGCCTAGGATCTTGCAAAAGGGGCCTAAGGTATAAAGTAACTGTCTCCAAATGGAAGCCTTGATAGTGGGTCTGATCCCCTCAATTCAGAATGCAAATATAGAGGGGGGAGCTTTCCTATAAATACAGACACAGGACAAGAGCCAACTGTGGATGTATAAATATATCAATTTCAGTTTCTCATTTTCCCACTCTTATGTTCATTTCACCCCACTTTTGTATACATTCCTGATTTATTTATTTTAATCATATGAAAATTTGTACCCATTTTTGGTCATGTTTCTCCTATATATACACATTTGGTATGTTGGGCTAGATGACCCTTGGGTTACCTTCCAACTCTACATTTCTTTGATTCTATAATGCAACGCCTTTTTGTACATGGCTTCAACCAATATATATGCATTTTTCACAATGGTGCACTTTTCACCAACAGGCACATTCTTTGGTTGCAGAACCAGAGAACAAAATTCAGAGAAGTTGGGATTTCAAAGGTGGACCTTATTTCAGGTCTGGGAACTGTCAATTTGGTAGTTTGCACTCTAATCCAAACCAAACAGATGTCTTCCCCATCCGTACATCAAGGCTTTGGACTTCTTGAAGGCAGAGACAGGTGCTAAATGGAATGCCTTTTTTGTCAATTGACAAGCCCTTCAAAAGCAATTTGCAGTATGCCTGAAGCATCTGCTGCTCAGATGGAAAGATTTATATATATATCATGTCTGTATCCGTATCCGTATCCGTATCTGTACCACTGGGTGTTCCTGAAGTCTTACATTAGACCCATGACACAATGCAGAAGAATTAGAATATCCACACTTTGCATTGGTCCATAAGAACAGAGGAAGTTTCTTGCTGGATCATGCTGAAGGCCCATCTAGTTTAGCATCCACTTCTCAAGGGGCTAACCAGATACCTATGGGAAATGCAGGTAGTGCCTGAGTGTGTGATTCCTAACAACTTGCATGCAGAGGCATACTGACAATGGAAGCAGCACATCACCATTGTGGACCGCCACCAATATCTTTATCCTCCACGTGACTGCAGAAGTCTGCCCGAAATCTCTTAGTAGAGATGCTGCAGAAGTTTGCCCGAACTTTTCTTGGAAATGCATTTCTTTAAAAAGTGATCTCAAAAGAGAGATGAGCTCTCAAGAATCCCCAAGCCATTTGTTGGCTGGGATCAATATTTGGACCTGAAAAGGATTTGTGGGAAAGAGTCCCTGGTGGGTTGCTAGTCTCTAAAGCATCCTTTTGATTCCTCTCTTTACTTATCGGTGAGCAGAGAGTGCAGAAGGTGGCAATGACTGCAGTGGGGAACAGGGCTAAGGAAGATTGATCTTCCCATTTCCTCTCTGCCATCCTAACATGCTTCAGAGGGCATCAGGTCTGGCAAGAACGGATGGAGAGTGAAGATGGCATCAGCACTGGAGTTAGGGTGTTGCCAGCAGTTCCCCTGCACCAAGAGGTGCAAAATAACAACTACAGTGGTACCTTGGGTTACAGACGCTTCAGGTTACCGACTCCGCTAACCCAGAAATAGTACCTCAGGTTAAGAACTTTGCTTCAGGATGAGAACAGAAATCGTGTGGCGGCAGCTGGAGGCCCCATTAGCTAAAGTGGTACCTCAGGTTAAGAACCATTTCAGGTTAAGAACAGACTTCCCAAAGTACCACTGTACCACCTATGTTTACTCAGAGTTAGAAGGCTTGCCAAATTTTGTCCCTGATCAGGACACCATGTTACCAAAGACCACTCCTGATGGTTTGTTAGTGTAAGAAGATCCAGCCGGGCCTCATGACTTGAGACTGAACATAAGAACAACCCTGCTGGATCAAGCCAGTGGCCTATCCTGTCCAGCATCCGATTCTCACAGTGGCCAACTATAGATGCCCATGGGAAGCCTGCAAGCAGGACCTGAGCACAGCAACACTCTCTCATCCTGCAGGTTCCAGCAACTAGTATTCAGTAGCAATACTGTCTCTAAGTACGGAAGCAGAGCACAGCCACCATGGCTAGCAGTTGTTTATAGCCTTCTCTATGAATTGATCTGATCCTTTTTTAAATCCAAATTGGCTGATTAACATTCTATGGCTTTCAAATGTATTTCTGACTGGAGGGTGGTGGTTTTTTTGCTTGTTTCTGTTTCTGTTTTATAAGGTATTTTGTATTCTTATTTTGTATTTTTCTGTTGTGACCCATCCTGAGAGCTTCAAATGAAGGGCGCTATACAAATTTAATAAGTAGAACAACAGCATTTGTAGATGCAGTAGTTTAATTTTTAAAAAAGATGTGCCACATTTTCAAAATGGTTCTAAATTGCCTTTAAATGTTTTCAATGTGTTGTTATTTATTTGAAGTCGTACTGTTTGGGAGGAAGGACAAAGTTGAAAATTTCAGAACCTGCTTAGATGTTATATTACAATCAAACGGTGTATAATTTTTTAAAAAATAAAATGCAATAGAACAAATAAGGGAACTTTGACAGCCCTTGATCATACTGGCTGGGGTATTCCCTCAGGCCCTAAGCTTTGGGGGTGCTCTGAGACTGCATAGATCCCTTCTGTGTTTTCTCAGCATCACAAAATCCTGCTCCATTTTTTAAAAAATCTGGCCCCCAAATGATAATGGAAAGGTGGGCGGGTTTATTTCCAGAACTCAGTTGTGTGGAAATGGTTCCCTCCACAGGCCCTCCTACTACAGCTTCAAATAAGGAATGATTCCCTTTCCAGCAAAGAAGCACATGCACACACATCAACGAAGAAGAAAATGAAAATATGTAGATCTTTATCTAGCCTTTCCCCTATGTTCTTTTCCTTTCGTGCGAATTGAAAGAACGTGCAATTTTAGTCACTGAATGTAGCAGCATGAAATAAACATAGATAGGTAAAGGGGAGGAAATCTTGTGAAGGTCACTAACGGCATAAATACCTGTGTCTATTTATAAAAGATAAAACAAGTTTGCATAGAGAACGTCTACCTCAAGGCTTGACAGAAATGGAACAAAACACTTGTCAAGTGAAGAGAAGGAAAGCGGGGGGGGGGGAGGACCACACAATCTCACTTTTCTTCAGCTAAAATTACCTACCTGCATAATTTGGGTTAGGGAGCATGATATAATAAATCTCTTTAAAGAAAGTATGCTTGTAAGTGATTACAGTATGTTATGCTGCTCAGGATAAAAGGGAACAGAGTTCCCATAGCGATAGTGAAGGAAGAGGAGTGAAGAGATGGGGGGAAGGTAAAAGCTCCATTGTGCTTTTAGCCAGCTTCAACTAAACAATTGTTCTAGCTTGCAAGTTAGCTCTGCGGTTAGACAGTGGTTTCCTGTCTGCAGTCATACTTAGCTGAAGCAAAGAAACTCAGCTTGATAGGCCGGTAGTGGCTCATATCTGCTTCAGGTGTGGTGAGCCTTGTGGTAAGCTAACTTCGCACCTCAGCTCTGCAAAATGCAAACATTTTTAACGCAGAAGCAAACAAAATGCAATGGAGGGGGGGAGGGCTCAGCTAGCCCAATAAGGTAATGAAATGTATCTCTGCTTGTTGATTGGGGAGCAACTGAGGCAAGCTTGAAATTACTGTATAAGACTGCTTGGAAGACAATAGAGGGGGCCAGTCTTTGGAAACTATTCCACTGGCTACCTCTGCGCAGATTTGCAATAAAGCCTTTTTCTCCGTGAATCCCACCCTGGAGTATGTTTGTCTCCTTCTTGGTACCAGCAGGGGCAGGTGACTGGAACCGGACCCCTTAGGATCAGATATCCTAACAATAGGTATTTGCTTTTAGTAAACACACAGAGAGAATGTGAATATAACCCAGAGTCATAGGCCTAGTTCTCTCAAAGAACAGGTGAAGCAGTCTTGATGCTGATTCTTGGCTGTAGCAGAGGGCTCACCTATGCAGTTAAATTCCCCCCGCACAGGAATCTAGCATGGCAAGTATTGCTGACACCCCAGATTTCTAAATACAGGAGTTCTTTCATTTCGTAAAGAGGAGCCTTCATTTATGTGAACCCCACATGCAGTCTGAACAACTACAGCCCCAAATTAGGTTACTATGTTTGGTGTTTTTTTTATGAACTGGATCACAGACAAAGGGAAAGAATATTACTGATGAAGACAGCAGAAAAACAAAGTATAGATAATATCAGCAAGTGATTCCAATCCATTAGAAAATGATGTAGGGGTTCCCATGTCTACCACCAAAATGAGGCAAACTCCCAAACCCTATATACCACCACAGGTTATCTGACGGGCTTTTGCGAGAGGCAAAACTTTGGTACTTGGAGACTTAGGCAAAAAGTGAACAAATGAGAAAGATTCATTTTACAGAACTTAATTTGTAAAACAAAAGATGTGGCAGGAGACTAATAATAATAATACCTTGCACAATCAGGATTCTAAATCTTTTGGGTAGCCTCCCTGAGTACAGGAGACTCCTCGTATCAGACCTTTGCCCTCAAAATTGTGGAGGCCTATAAACAATGTTAAAGTGATGTGACAGAAGGGTCAGGGCTTGGCTGCATGTCCTTGTTCCCCTTTATGAGATTGCTTACATGTGAAAAATTTGAGCAATAGGGCTTGTGTTTCAGCCAGTTCCCATGGCTATCTATCAGAAGGCTGAGGTGCTGGGTGGCTGTGTATCAACACAGAAACACACACACACACACACACACACACACACACACACACAATTTTATTTCTGTATCTTTGTTTCATTGGCCAAACTATTTAAACTATAAAGAGTGTGTGTGTGTGTGTGTATGTGTGTGTGTGTGTCCCCGATTTGCTGAATCTTCCTTGTGTGCCAGATTATGGGTGAATGCAAGAAGAGAACAGAAAGAGAGATAATTGTGATATTGCATATGTGTGCATGCAGTGATTTATTGTTATATCTGTCTGTGACAGAACCTCTTTTAGATTTTAATTAATCCCACTTAGCATTTAAGTGTCCTATATATCTGCCAACGTGAGTTTAATTCCTGGTTGGTGTTTATTAGCAAGATAATTGTGCTTATTACTTAAGCATAGTGCCTCTCTGGCAGTCAGCCCAGATGGGGACTTTTATCTTCATTGTATCAGGAGGGGCGGGGGGGAAGGGAGAGGAAGAGTTGGATTAATTTCAAGTAAAGCAGATGTTTTATCCATTAGCGGGAACTTCATAAAATGCTGTAATCATAAAAAGTCAGTTTGCACCCTGTGCACATTCCAGTCGCGAGTATTAGCAGAATGAAAAAGCAGCAAATTTGCCCATTGTGAGACTGAACATTGTCCTTGGTATGTTTAACACATTACACAGAATTGGCTGATAGACTGAAGTGGCTTGGCCTTTGGCCTCGATTCTACCACTTCATACTGCAAATGGAGATAGTTCAAATTTTTGAAAGTTTCCCATATTGAACGCAAACAAATAACTCTCTTCATATAGTAAACTGGCATACCGAAACAAAGCAACAAAGCCTAAACCTTTCACTCTGGTGGACTAGTTCACTAATAATAATAATAATAATAATAATAATAATTTATTTATACCCTGCTCATCTGGCTGGGTTTCCCCAGCCACTCTGGGCAGCTCCCAACAGAATATTAAAAACACAATAAAACACCAAAAATTAAAAGCTAAAACAGGGCTGCCTTCAGATGTCTTCTAAAAGTCAGATAGTTGTTTATTTCCTTGACATCTGATAGGGCATTCCACAGGGCGGGCGCCACTACTGAGAAGGCCCTCTGCCTGGTTCCCTGCAATTTTACTTCTCGCAGTGAGGGAACTGCCACAAGGCCCTCAGAGCTGGACCTCAGCATCCGGACTGAACGATAGGAGTGGAGATGCTCCTTCAGGTATACTGGGCCAAGGGCTTTAAAGGTCAGCACTTTAAATTGTGCTCAGAAGCATACTGGGAGCCAAAAGTGTGCATATAAGAAAAGAGACATTGATCATAAGTCTTGTATGTTATGGTACCATTCTAGGTGGGTGGGTGGGAAACATGCTCTATAATTTGATATGTCCATTCTTATAGTATGCCATATATACAACAAAATCCAAATAAAAATGATTTTAAAAGGAAAAGAACATGTGTGAATTTTTACACGTGTCTTTGACTGCATACACACCATACAGTTAAAGCCTGTTTAAAGTACATTGCTTCACTTGAAGAATCTTGGAAACTATTGTTTACCTCTCACAAGAAACGATAGCTCTCAGGGTTCTGCTTTCAGTCGTCTGCTTTCAGCATTTGGTGTGTATGCTGCTCCTGTCTCTGAAAGGTGATGGGCCGCAGAAGGCCCAGCACATTCCTTGGATTTGATTCCCTTGGAATGAAGGTTAATGGACAGGTAGTGTTTTCTGTGGTGTATACTTTATTTTCACATACCTACAGGCCAAACATAAGATGGAGCATTACCACAGTTAGGGATGCTTCGCAACATCTGAAGGGCACCACCTTGGCCTCCTCTGGTGTATAGGATTTCACTATTAGGCCACCTTTGCACACTTAAAAGGGTAAAGGTAAAGGGACCCCTGACCATTAGGTCCAGTCATGGCCGACTCTGGGGTTGCGGCGCTCATCTCGCTTTATTGACCGAGGGAGCCGGCATACAGCTTCCGGGTCATGTGGCCAGCATGACTTACTCGAGAGCAAATCCCACTGAACTCAATTAGTCTTACTTCTGGGGTGACATGCATAGGAATTCACTATAATATATGAAGGTGTCCACCCTGCCTTCACCTCCCACCATAATGTCTCGATTTCAGACTTTCTATGTGTAATATGCAATGTATATAAATGCAATGTAATATAAAAATAAGGTTTGTTTCCAGGCTACAACTATTTGTTTTTGTGGGTAATGATAACTCTTAAGCTATTTAAGAGCCCATTTTAGTATTGCAATGAAAGGGATTCACCTTTTAAAAGAAAAAGAAAAACTCGCCATCTTAGCAGGATAGATTGTGAAATCACAATCTTTTCACTGAGTCTATACGTTCTTAAAATTGTCCATGTTGCAGAAATAAATACCTGCAATCAGACTGTATGGTGTATAAGCACCATAGTTTTTTTTGGGGGGGGGGGGGGCAGAAATTAAGTTGTCAGAGGAAACACAAGGAGAATTTGTTTTGCATTAATGTTGCTGTCCACTCTGTTGTGTAAGCTCCTTCACTGCAACATATTATTCATAGTGTTATTCATTGTCATAATGAATAGACAGGAGAACAGACAAGAAAAAAGAATACTTTTTGTTTCTTTGTTTTTCATCCAACCCTAATTTCTGCCCTGCAAATAAACTTTGTTCTTATTTGTTTTAGCCTCAAAGCATAAAAATGCAGCATTCCAATGCTATAGAAATATTTTGACATGATGGAGCATGAAATGTCTTGCATCCATGTTGCTGCTTGATGTCCTGTGCCAGGTATATAGGGGCAAGGCAATTCTATGCCACTGCATGAGGGTCACAATACCTTTAAAACAGCCTGTGGCCATAATTTAGAGCATGGGTAGGCGAACTAAGACCCAGGGGCTGGATCTGGCCCAATTGCCTTCTAAATCCGGCCCACAGACGGTCCAGGAATCAGCATGTTTTTACATGAGTAGAATGTGTCCTTTTATTTAAAATGCATCTCTGGGTTATTTGTGGGGCATAGGAATTTGTTCATTATTATTATTTTCAAAATACAGTCCGGCCCTCCACATGATCTGAGGGACAGTGGACCGGCCCCCTGCTGAAAAAGTTTGCTGACCCCTGATAGAGTTTCACTGCTGTAGCTGGCTTTGTAGTGACTAGAACACCTTAAGTGTGACACAGAAGCACAAGTCCTTTCATGCTGCTTCCATTCCATCCAGTTTTGCATCACTACTATACTTCATTTGAATTTTTAATTGTTCTTTCCAGAGTAATGAGTAGTGCTTTCAGGATGTTTGGCTTGGAGTTGAGCCAAGGTTGACTGCTAAAATTTTGGGTAATTTCCTTTTTCTTCACTCCCACTTTCCCAGACATTTTCAGAATATTATCTCCACCACTTGTTTTGTGCATGATAAGCAGCATAAGCAGAATGACTAGTGGGGCAAAATGATGGCCTCGCTGCCAACACAAGAAAAGAAGGAGTGGAAGGGAGTGTAGTCCCATCAACGGCAGGCAACTCCACATCCATCTGGTCTAGGCCACTAACAGTGCAGTCTTATCTTCAGTTCATCCAGTCCATTACTGTGGCAAGGCAACAGTCCAGCACATCCACTGCCATACTTGGCTAAAGGGGAAAGGAGCTATTTGGTGGAGAATCAGCTGGCACCCACCTTCAGGTCATTTAAGTCCCCTGGCTCTTTTTATACTACCCTCTTATATAAAGTGCAAGAAGATCAAACCTATCCATTCTGAAGGAAATCAGCCCTGAGTGCCCACTGGAAGGACAGATCCTGAAGCTGAGACTCCAATACTTTGGCCACCTCATGAGAAGAGAAGACTCCCTGGAAAAGACCCTGATGTTGGGAAAGATTGAGGGCACAAGGAGAAGGGGACGACAGAGGATGAGATGACAACTTATGTCATGGCATATATATATATATATATATATATATATATATATATATATATATAGTTTTAGTTTGCTTAATGTAATTTTAACTTTTTGTAAACCAGCCTGAAAGTTGTTGAAAGGTAGGATAAAAGTCAAAGAAACAGAATAACACAATGAAAGACTAAATAAATTGAAAAATTAAAAAATTGTCCAGTAGCACCCTAGAGACCAACTAAGTTTGTTCTGGGTATATGCTTTCATGTGCATGCCCACTTCTTCAGATACCAATGAAAGACTGTAAAACTTAAGAGATCAACCCAGCAATAAAAACAGTAAATTCACCATAAAACCAGAAGAACTGCCTATCAATTATTGCAAGGCCAGGCAAAACAAAGGCCAAAGGGCCACGGCTTCTGCAGGCAACTGACTTTGGATATGAAATGCAGGGAATTGTCAGGACTAATATGTCTCAGTTCTGATTTTTACTCTCACCACCAGACAGCTTTGATAGCAATGGCCTAGATGAACCACTGGTCTTACTCAGAATAAATAAGCAGATGTGTAAATAATAGAGATCAATTTCCATGGCACAGCAGTGGACAGACTGAGATTTCCAAGTGCATACTTTAGTAGGAATTAATGATAAAATTATGCAGGAAGGAAGGAAGAGGTGCAGTAGTCTCTGAGTGGTTATTCTAATGCAGCGTTTAGAATTCCGTACACCATGCAATAAAAATAGCACGCTATATAAATGCCAGTTTGCTTTTTTCCCACATTAAAAAAGGTAGCATTCTGAAACACATGAGACATTTATCATTCAAAGTTGTCTCATTCCGGAAAGCCTGCTGAACATACAGTGAAACCATCTGAGGTAACCCGGTGGCAGTTTGCGGTGATGGTTCTCTCTTTGTAGAATCATAGAGCTGTAGAATTATACAACATAAGTAGAGGCTGCTGGATCACGCAAATGGCCCATCTAGTCCAGCATCCTGTTCTCACAGTGGCCAACCTGTGGGAAACCAAGAAGCTGAACAGGAGTACAAGAACACTCTCCCCTCCTCAGGTTTTCAGCAACTGGTATTTAGAAGCATTGCTGACTCCAACTGTGGAGGGAGAGCGTAGTGATTATGGCTGGTAGCCAGTCCTCCACGAAACTGTCCAGTTCTTTTTTAAAGCCATCCAAGTTGGTGGCCATCACTGCCATCTGGAAGAGCAAGTTCCGTAGTTTGACTATGCACTCCAGTCTAAACACCTGCTTGATGCAGGCCATCAAGCTTTAGAGCTTTAGAGCATTCCCAATCGGCGGCTGCCCAGATTGTGCTTGAAGACCTTCAGTGACAGAGAACAACCCCATTCCCATTAGGTAATGGATTCCATTGGTTCTATCATCAGTTTTTATGTATTATTATCACAGGCGACAAAAATATCCTCTGATGGTTTCAGGTGTCTGATACACCTGGTTGCTGGACAGAAAATTGGTAATAGATATTTGTTTGTTCTTTTGTGTACAGTGGTACCTTGGGTTACAGACGCTTCAGGTTACAGACGCTTCAGGTTACAGACTCCGCTAACTCAGAAATAGTACCTCGGGTTAAGAACTTTGCTTCAGGATGAGAACAGAAATTACACGGTGGCAGTGTGGTGGCAGTGGGAGGCCCCGTTTGCTAAAATAGTACCTCATGTTAAGAACAGTTTCAAGTTAAGAATGGACCTCCGGAACGAATTAAGTTCTTAACCCGAGGTACCACTGTATTACTCTTCTTCTTCTTCTTCTTCTTCTTCTTCTTCTTCTTCTTCTTCTTCTTCTTTTTCTTCTTCTTCCTCCCCCTCCTCCTCCTCTTCTTCTTTTCCTGTTTAAAATTTGGTCCTGCATTTAAACAGGAGTGATCTTCAGAGACTGGACCTACATCTTGAATGGAATTTTCCTTTATTTTCAGACCAGATAAACACCAATATGCTGGTTTGCACCCATCACTAGTTTTGATGTATGCTATAGTAATATACCATAGTTTTGCAGAAGGGAAAACAAATTGGATCCATAGGAAGTCAACCATAACTTCAGAGCTGATGGTGTTTGAGGCTTTAATATTGGGCTAGTTAGAGCATCTTTGGTTTCTGAGGCATTAAAACAACTTCTAATTGAATAAACCTTGAGAGTAAAAATGAGATTTTTATTGATTGGGGAGAGAATGGGGCCTGGGAAGCCAAATACATTTTTACGCACATATATAGTTCAAAGGGAACAGAACTGCTCACAGCCTGCTCTCTTCCTTAACCCACTCCTGAGCTAGCTGCTGGCTGTTCATCACTTCCATGCTGATTCGTACAATAGCTCACGCTTGAAGGTGGCCAATAATTCAATTAGGCTGACTGAATTCACAGTTGTGTTTTATCTTAATAATACAGTACTTGGAGCTGCAATTATTTCCGTTGCCTCTTGTAAAAAAAAAAGAAAAAAGAGTCACATACTGAAAGAAGAAGCTGTCAAAATAAAATGAGTGGCATCTATTAATTGCATCATACAAAAGGCTATTGAAATGCTATTCTTTCAGAAGGAAAAGCAGAGAGAGAGAAAACACGCTATCAGCCTCTAACAAACGCTATGGATGGAGAAGGGCAAAAGGCCGACAAGCTCAATAGCTGAGTTTAAAACAAAAATCACTCTGTGGTATCAGTTAGCATGCTTGGATTTCTGTGAAGACATGCTGGTGCCTACCTGCTTGCACCCCCATGTTGATGGGGCGGGCTCCTTTTCAACCCAAGGGTCACACTCCTTCATGGGCAACATTCTGGGGCTGCATACCAGTGGTGGATGGGATCTAGGGATCAGGAAAAACATTGATTCACTTCATATTTAAAGATGAACTTACTTAATTTGTAGTTCCCAGAACTGCTTGTGAAGGTAAACACAGCCATTTTTCAAAATTTGCACTTTTCTGAATTTCCCAGTGCAGTTCTTCAGCCAAGGAATCTGTTCAAAAATGCTTATACCAGAGGGAAATGTGAGTATAAGGGCACATTAGTGAAAACATAAGAAATGTCTTATTTTTTTGGGGGGGGGGGTAAAAAAAGGGGGGCATGAATTAGGCAAAATTGCATACAATCATGTGTTTATGAGGAAAAATTCACACTAAAATGCTGATGAGTTTTGAGGGGGGCTTAATTTTTTAAAATAAAATAAATCACAAACTGATGTGGAAATGTGGAGACCTAAACTGTGTTCTGACTTCTGTCAGTTTCTCCTTTTCCTAGTCTTCAGTTTATCCAAACATCCCTAGGTGGGGTCAGTCAGATACAGAAGTGGGCACAACAGTGGGTGTGATTCTGACCTTTGTACCACGTGTTACATTCCAGTCATGCAAATGTAAGACATTTCTGCACACAGGTGCACACCCACACATCTCCATCCTCCTTTCTGGCAAGCAAAAGGCATTGTCATGGTTTAAGGGCACATTCTAGACAGACAAAAGCATTGAAGGATGGTGTGGTCTGTGGGACGGGTGTGGCTTGGAGTTACAAGGGCCAACAAGAGAGACATATCCATATTTGGTCACCAGGCCTGAGCCTCCCCAGCCCAGTGTACACCATTTTATACATTCTTTCTCTAAATACGTTTTGTGTGCTTTTCAATGTACAGTGGTACCTCCGGTTGTGCACAGGATGCATTCTGGAGCTCCGGTCGGATCCTGAGGAATTCGCAACTGGAGGTGCCACTTCTGCGCATGCGTGCGGCACAGTAGAACACTTCTGCGCATGCACACGGTGCATAGAGCACTTCTGCACATGCGCGCATGGCTAAACCCAGAAAAATACTTCCGGGTTTGCCGCGTTCGCATCCTGAAGGATACACAACCAGAGGTGTGCTTATCCAAAGGAACCAATGTATTTTCCCCTAAATCCACATTGGTTTGTGTGCTTTGGGAAACAAAACCATGCCACAAAATTCATGGCAGTGTGTGATATCATTCACTGTGCTCCAATCTGCAGGTGTCTGAGGCAAGATGTGGACCAAATGAATTTCTCCTCCTTTTCTGTTTGCAGGATAACTAATTACTTGGGATTTATAGCATCTTCACATGTAGCTAGTCATACGGCATAGGCTTAAATATATTCAGATTTAAATACATTCAGATATAAAGCTCTGTGCCTGAATAGCAACTGTTTCTGAAATTTTCTTTTATTCATGGCAGGCTTGTGATAAAGGAAACAGGTTCAACACTGAACTTCTCAGCAAAGTCTCTGTGCAGCTTTGTTATAAAAAAAAGAGAGAGAGAGAGAGGCTGCATTCATGAATAAACAAAATCCCCATGATGCCACAGTGAGTGAACACCAGCCGATAGGATATTGCAGACATATCACTCCTGACAGGGCTAAGCAATAGGTGATAGAGATAAGTGGGGTTGGAATAAAATGTGATTAATCCAGCCTTTTTGATTCTGTTTTGATTTTGAAAAACACAGAGCCAGCTATTCATCTTCTGTCTCTGGAAGGAGTAAATCAGCTGATAAGCGAAAGTGAAATATAAGTGAGGTGCTGAAGAAGTCAAATGGCCATGTGTTCATAAACTGCTTATGCAAATCTGGAGAATGGGATTAAGAAGCCATTGGGAAAGGTTGCCCAATCTTAGTGACCATCAGAATTTATGCAGATAAGCACACTGGAGGGAAATGATGATGCAAATAACAATCATACGAACAGGCAAAGTAAATGAAAGAGCAAAAAAGAATTTAGATTAGTAAGCCCAGGCTATTATACCACTGAAAAAGTAAGGTCAGCTCTAGGACCAAAGAAAGCTGGTAGTTTATGTTTTCCTTTTGACTTATGCATTACCCGTCAAGTGATAAGGTTTAAGAGGTGTTCAGAAAGTTTAGCTGAAATATTGAAGAAATTGTTGCCCAGTGGGTGAAATAATATTATCCTCCTTGAATGATTTGTTGGTTGATTAGCCAGATTTTAATTTTTTTTAATTTCACACCTGCAAAAAATTTGTAGTTTTTTAAAAAAAAACTAAAAAGAACACAAATTGCTCTTTTAATCATAAAAACACACTTTACAATTTTTTTGTTAGAATAGACGGAATTCCCCTCAACTGGGGAGAGTATGAACATCAGAGAAATGCAAATAACAATATAGGGTGTTGTATTGTTTGAATCGGAGTAGGATTGCCATTACTAACTTAGGTTCATTAATTTCAATAGGGTCTCTTCTGAACCAATTTAGTTTAATACCACTCATAGAAACTATTTTTAAAATCGTAAGATCATAAGAAGAGCCTGCTGGATCAGCCCAGTTGCCCATCTAGTCCAGCATCCATTTATTTCTAGACATGCCTTGCCACCTGAGGGTACTCAAGGCAGCCCATAATACAAAAAAAAGTGATAACATGAACACTGCAAATGGTTATATGCAGTTTAAAATCAACTGCTTAAAAATAGTTCAGGACAAACAAGGCTGCAGACCAAAGCAACTCAGCTAGAGATTTTTAAATGGTTGCCAAAAATAAATGTGCCCTGATAAGGTGCCAAAAACTCCATAAGGATGGTGTCAAGAGACACTGTTTCCTGGGACAGAAAGTTCTATAACCTGGGCATGATCACAGCCGTCAGTGTTTAAACTACATTTTTTGAGATTTGCCTTGAGACAGTCTTTAAACCTCTTTTGTTGACCACCAGCATTACGCTTTCCATTTTTAAGTTCGGAATAGAGTAGTTGCTTTGGAAGACAATCATCAGGCATCCGCACAGCATGACCAGTCCAACGAAATTGATGTTGAAGAATCATTGCTTCAACACTGATGATCTTTGCTTCTTCCAGTACACTGATATTAGTTTGCCTGTCTTCCCAAGTGATGTGTACAAAATTTTGGAGACACCGTTGATGAATATAAGACACCAGGGACAGCTTTGAACTCCACCCCCTGTAGTGCTAGTTTTTTTAAGGATAGACTCTTTTTTACATAAGGGAGCATTTGAACAAGCAGACAAATCACACTTCACCTCCCAACTGCTTTATACTGATGATGTACCTGTAGATGGGTTCTGTGCAAAGGAAAATAAGAGAATTTTTCTTTATGCGACAGTGGCAGCAAGAATTCCAATTGCCAAAATTTGGGGGAAAATGAAACAATCCCAACAGAGAAAGAATCGCAAGATAAGCTATTCAATTATTTAGAATTGGCTAAACTGACAGAGGCAATTAGAGACCAATCCAAACAAAAATTTCAAAAAGAATGGGGAAAATATAGTGAATACCTGAAAAAGCAGTGCCCTCAAATTAATACTTGGACTTGTCTGGACTAATTTCACAAAATAAGATATGGTGTAAAAATGTAAGATACAGAAGAAAAATAGAGAAGAGGAACTGAGAAAGAAACAGTTTATTAAGTATACAACCAGACCCGCAAAAAAAATATAGTATAAACTATGTTGTGGTACCCAATCTTCTCAGTCATTATATTATTAGAAGAGCTGCATGGAATATTAAAATGTTCCGAGTCCAAGGTGTCTTGCAATGGATTCTTGCTGCAAAGCTTCCTGAGAGTCAGTGGTTAAAGTCAAGGAACAGGAAGCCTATTTTCAAGTTGCAGGAGGAAAGAGCATTAATGTTCGAAATGGAGTCAATTTGGAGGGCTGAATGTGCTAAACAAGCCACTCCGCAGAATCCCTGGGGGAATACAGGAGTCTCCTGAGGAAAGGGAAATTTGGCACTTAGGACTGGAGAGAGCCTTGAGGGAGGAGAAAGGCAGTCCTTGGAGTGATAGCAGGGTAAAATGAGCCAGAAGAAAAGATGATAGGGTGAAATGGGAGAAATGAGCTGCATTTTTCATGAGCTCATAGAAGAAGTAATCATTAGCTATATTCTTGCGGGCTTGCTTCGGTGTTTAATTAATAATACATCCAATTTTTGAAGACTAGCTCTAGCAAATAACACTTATTTTCTCTCTCTCTTTCTTTTTCCTGAGATATTTCCCCCATTATTGTTCCTTTGCCCAGGTGTTAAGAACTGGCACAGAAAACAGATTCCAAAAGCTGAGCCTTGGCCTAAAGTTATGCACTGCCTCTTTGTTCGGAGACAACGCAGAACAAGTTATTGACTTACTTACTCAGATTATTTACTTTCTGCTCTTTGCACAGGTCACAGGGTGGTTTACAATAAAGCAAGTATTAAAAGAATACATAAAAGCCATAAAAGCACAATCCATTCAAAACATACAACAACAAATCACGGAATGGCAGTTCCTAAGAGTAGCAGCCATAGCAATCAGTTCTCACCTCCGCCAAATGCCCTCTGAGAAAGATACATTTTAGCCAGCTACCTGAAGCTATAAAGAGATGAGGCCAGATACATCTCAGTAGGAAGAGGTTTCATATATGAGGAACAGCCTCTGAAAAAGCCGTTTCTTGGGCCCTCACCCCATCATCTCACATAGAGACCACCAAGAGAGTCTCACTGGCTAATCTTAAAGCATAGGCAGGTTGATATGGGAGAAGAGATCAGCTGCTTAAATGTTGCAGGTGGGGATGTTCCACATTCCAATCGACTGTGTTCCATGCCAGTATACCTGAAGGAGCGCCTCCACCCCCATCATTCTGCCCAGACACTGAAGTCCAGCACCGAGGGCCTTTTGGTGGTTCCCTCACTGTGAGAAGTGAGGTTACAGGGAACCAGGCAGAGGGCCTTCTCAGTGGTGGCACTTGCCCTGTGGAACGCCCTCCCATCAGGTGTCAAAGAAGTTTATGTGACTTAGAAGACATCTGAAGGCAGCCCTGTTTGAGGAAGTTTTTAATGCTTGATGATTTATCGTTTTTTAAATAATATGTTGGGAGCCGCCCAGAGTGGCTGGGGAAACCCAACCAGATGGGTGGGGAATGAATGAATGAAACAAAACAAAATAATTATTATTATTGCCATTGTTCAGGGGTACCAGGCCTTATTGGGGCCTAATCTCTGTGCCAGCTCCAGGCTAGTGGAGCAGTCTTACCACTCAGTGCCATGGCTGCTTGATGATGATGATGATGATGCCACCTGGGGAAGAGTGACCAAGCCACGAGCAGAATGCATGCTTCTTCTTGAACCGCCTTTCCCCACTTTGAAGCCACTGCTGCTGCCAGATAAGGGATAAATTATTTACCAAGCAGCCCCTCATTAAACAGTCTTCAGAAAGTTCCCTGGGGTCTCTCTGAGGATACAGCTATAGGCATGAGCAACAGGGACACAGCTATAGGCATGAGCAGTTTTGCATTAAGATGAGACCACACAGGTTTAAAAAACAAAACAAGACGGCAAAAAGTTTTGCCCTCCATAGTGAAAACAAACCAAAATTGGATAAAAACAATTCCCTACCCATTGCCTACACAGACCCGAAAACTCACCAGCCTCTTAGTAGAATTGCTGCTCACAGGTAGCTTTTTGTTCCTTGAAGCCTCCCTCCTTGGCTTATGCTGAAATCCTTTTCTTCTAAAAATAAAAATAAAAAACCCAAGATGGCAACTGCTGATATAGACCACCCCACACCAGTTATGTGCTCCTTCCCTTGGGGTACCTGCTCAAGAAAGTTCAGGGCCTTTAAATTTCCAGCCCTTGGAGAGAGATATGCCTTGGGGCACAGCTGGTTAGCCTTAAGCATGTAAGAAGAGCCTGCTGGATCAGGCCAATGGCCCATGTAATCCAGCATCCTATTCACACAGTGGCCAACCAGACGCCTGTAGGAAGCCTGCGAGTGGGACCTGAGCGCAATAGAACTTTGCCCCCATTATTCCCAGCCACTGGCTTTCAGAGGCATAATGCCTCTGGCAGTGGAGGCAGAAGAGACTTCCCAAATTATTATTATTATTATTATTATTATTATTATTATTATTATTATTACCACTCCTTTTTTTCTGGGAGGATGCAGGGGTACGCATACCCCTAAATATTTTGTGAATCTAATTTTCACCTCATGGAGGGGCAGTATTTCAATATGAGTAGGAAAATGAGAGTACCCCTAAACATTTTTTAAAGAAAAAAAAGCCCTTATTATTATTATTATTACTACTAATAAATAAATAAATAAATAAATAAATTTCTTTATTTCTACCCCACCTTTTCCCCTGACAGGACTCAAGGAGAGTCAGTGTGATGTAGTGATTAAGAAAGAGCGGTAGTTTTGTAATCTAGGGAACCGGGTTCGCATCTCCGCTCCCCCACATGCAGCTGCTGGGTGACCTTGGGCCAGTCACACTTCTCTGAAGTCTCTCAGCCCCACTCACCTCACAGAGTGTTTGTTGTGAGGGAGGAAGGGAAAAGAGAATGTTAGCCACTTTGAGACTCCTTTGGGTAGTGATAAAGTGGGATATCAAATTCAAACTCTTCTTTCTCTTCTTCTTACAGATAATAACAAATGTGGCCCAAAAATAATTCTAAAAATGTTAAATTTTAATAGAATCAAAACTATATGCATATATAAACATATATGCTTCATCTTCAGGCTAGTGTACTTTCTTGCTTTCCTTCCTTCTTCCTTCCTTCTTCGCTTCCTTTGTTCCATGTTTTGCCACATGCAGTCAATGCCGCACTGCCTGTTGGAACAGACATGCCAACGAAATTGGAAAAAGCAGCCTGGTAATTGCATTTTTAAAAACAAATCTTTGAGTAATAGAATGAAGGCATGGGTCAGAGTGAAAGGATGGATTTTTTTTTAATTGTGAATAAATTAGATTGCTCCTGCTAACAGACTGCCTTCAAACATATTGCTGTAACATGGGTCAGCCTGACACTACAGTTCTGCGAAGAATGTTAACTACCATCACTTTAGTTGGTAGTCAGGAAGACATTGCAACAGAAGAGAGGGAATCGGAATAATGATAAGATCGTTCAGAGGCCTTGTGCCAATTCAATGGCTGGCCTGCCTGCCTTTCTCCAGAATGCATAGGAAGCTGGCATAAAGCAAGTTGTTGTGAGTTAAGATGACGTAAAGTTGCACCAGATCTAAACCCCATTTAGCAGT